TACTTCAGTCTGTGTGCATTGAATTTATTTAATACACGAGTTTCACAATTTGAGTTGAATTACTGAAATAAATGAACTTTTCCACGACATTCTAATTTATTGAGATGCACCTGTAAATAACAGAGAACAGAAACGGCCCTCAGCTGACTTCTTTAGTGCACAATAATTATTTTTCACTAGATGGCACCACATAGGAACTTTTGTAATAGGCTACTGTTTTAGTAAGATCACATTTTACTTGCTTTTCAAACATAAGATATATCAACAAAGTCACTAGTAAATTTTTCATATAGAGCTATTAACCACTGCTAGTAATGTTAATTAAAAAAAATATATTTTTAATCATTTATCCTTGTCAGCAAGAGTTAATGAGAGCTCCAGCTCCCCAAAACAAACCAAGAAAACCCAGAAAAAATATGCAAAAGATATGAAGCACGCTTCCTGTGAACCGTGACTTGGACGTGGGATTTAGAGTGTTGTTTCCTAAGCACTCAAACTGGAGCTTAACATTTACAGCAATCAACTCTTCGTGCATTTACCCCGATACGTTGAAAATTTTAAAACGACAAGTTTCTTTTCTGCGTAAATTTGACTAGGAACTTAACAGGGTGGATGTTTCGAGGTGGGGTGGAAACATAGAATAATCACAGAGCGTTACATTAGTTGTAAATGTTGGTGGGTTTCCGCTTGTGACCCCTCCAAATTCAAACACGGAGGGGCGCACGTCTCCCCTTCTCCTCTATCAGCGAACCACGCCTCATGCTGCCTTCTAACGCCGGCCATATTGACTATTTTAGCTAATCTCTTTGCGGTAGGTTGTAGAGGTTCTGTGATCATCACCGTTATAACAGCGTGCCATTGGATATACCGTGATCGCGACTTGGAAATAACAGTTCGCATTTATCTGGAGTGTGATTACATCTTGGGGGACATTTTCATTATTTTAGAAAGCGCAGAGCATTCCTGAGGTGAGTTTTTTGGGTTCTTTTTGAGTGTCTTCTCTTGAGCACGTTCTGCGTACGCTTTCTTTCAAGGTGTCTCCTTCCTTTAAACCACCTCATTGTCACCACCTCCGCAGAAAGCAACACAACATTTGCTGGTTGTATGGACGGCCCACTAAGCCATTTTAAAAAGCACAGCTTGTGTGCACAAGTCCAATAGATACCAATAACATTTCAAAGGATAATGTAAATCAAGCTTTTAATACGAATGGCCTAATCTGCGATTGACAAATTTGGAGTGGGAGGAAAACCAGTTATGAAATTGTCGGTGACCTCTGTTCAAATCTGATTGCTGCACGTGTCATAGACACATATTGTCGAAAGGTAATTTTAATGTATTAAAAACATTATTGGCAACAGGCAGGCCGCCTTGAGTATAACTGGCCACTGTAAAGGCAGTTTGTTGGGTATCAGGCTACTTGTCTCAACTGAATTTACTCCTCACAGCCGTGCCTCTGAATAAGGGTTACATCTCAAGCTGACTAGATGCTTTTTATGTGCTATCTTAGAGGCCTCTCAGAACGTTAAGAAAAGCGCTGACATTCGGTCGAAGAAGGCGAAATACTAATTTACTAGCTAATTTACATAGAGCCTAATCTCGTAATAGTGTTACTAGATTGCCTGTCGAAATGCCAATAATTAAGGTTAAGTAAAAGGGCTGAGACAATGCTTCTGACTTGTTTTACTTGACTGACGATGCCTTAATTCTAATAGGGGCACAGGATAGCCCACAATTTATGAGACATTCTAAAACGCCTTATTAAAACCGGTCGTTGTCAGCAGGGACTGCAATTGGTATATATTTAGCAAGGAAGAGCATTCATGTATCATACGTCGTCGCTACGCAAATTCCTCAGCGTATGGAGCTAACGAGAGCGTGGGGTTAGTGATATTGCGTACATTTGTTCATGCATGCAGATTTCAGAGAACTGCAGACGTACCCTAGTAGTTCATCCAACAAAGTGAGAAGAGGAGTGTGTGCTGCATTGGGCAGTAGTGAAATTTTAGCTTGATACTCGATGGTTAAATTCTGGTAGATCTTAAAACCTCCACTTAATCTCATGTCTATGTGAACTAATCATTCTAGGCTACAGTTTATGCTAGATTATCCTTATGTCAGAGGTTGAATAATATTTGTTCATTCATTCAAAATGGGTTTAACAATTGAATGTATTTCACAGAGACTAAAGTTTTGTAAAGATCAGAAGATGTAGTATTTAGAAGATTTCAAGTGTGATTCCACTGTAGGTCACAACAGATTTGATTGAAGTGTTACTGTACAAATACATGCTATTTGTTTGAGACTAGCTGACTTAAATTAAGTCATTCTTTTATAGTCTATATAATTTTTAGGAAATTAACTGCATGCTTTTGTACCCCTGGCTGCCATCAATTTGTCTAAAGCCCTAAACACTGCACGATTTTAGCAGTCCTATAAGATCATTGCATGTCACACTGTGCGACATGGATCTAATAAACTTGGCTACGACGTGTGTGTAGACTGTACGATGATGACACCTGTTGTCTCGTACGCTACGCCGCACGTTCCTGTAGAAGAATAAAATGTCATCAGCGTGCTAGTGGTAAACAAAAAGCTATATAAATAAATCACACTTTAGCAGTTGTATTTTTTTTATGTGTGCTAAAAAACAGTGGAAGTTGCGAAAGAGGAAGGCGTAAGAGCTTGAGGTAAGCAGTTTTATGTTTTAGTGCCATGTCGCGTTGATTTTATGTCCCATTTTTATTGGTTGGTCAGTAAACATGGATTGTACACACTGTGCGATGATCATGCTGTATCGTAGGCTATCTTTGGTTGCAAGATCGTGGCAACGGCCGTCTTTGAATCTCTCTCACTGTACGACACAGGACCACCGATTAGGAGCCACGATCAAAGAAATCGCCACGATTGATTCACGATGCCAATCTTTCGTCTGGGACAGCCGAAAATCGTGCAGTGTGTTTAGGGCTTAAGTTAATGCCTGTTTTTTTGTTTTGTTTGTTTTTTTAAGAAAAATACGTAACGAATAAAATAGGCCAACATTCTCAATCTGTGTTTTAGTGTAGAGAAGAAAATTCAGATTAACATGATTTAGGCCAACATCTGTCAGATGGAATCTGTGGGTCATTCTAATATTCCATTTACGTGTTTTTGTTTTACTCTTTGATGAACATTTGATGCAATAATATTAGTCCTAGGGCCTGTGAGAGACCACTGAACTCATATTCAGTTGGCACAGGACCACCGATGAGGAGCCACAATCACAGAAATCGCCACGATTGTTTCACACTGCCAATCTTTCGTCTGGGACAGCCGAAAATCGTGCAGTGTGTTTAGGGCTTAAGTTAATGCCTGTTTTTTTGTTTTGTTTGTTTTTTTAAGAAAAATACGTAACGAATAAAATAGGCCAACATTCTCAATCTGTGTTTTAGTGTAGAGAAGAAAATTCAGATTAACATGATTTAGGCCAACATCTGTCAGATGGAATCTGTGGGTCATTCTAATATTCCATTTACGTGTTTTTGTTTTACTCTTTGATGAACATTTGATGCAATAATATTAGTCCTAGGGCCTGTGAGAGACCACTGAACTCATATTCAGTTGCCTTCAGTATAGCTGTAGCACTGCTGCTGAAGACAACAGTATCAAATGACTACTTGCCACCATTTGTGACGATAGTCCAGGGGTTGCCCAGTCAACCTTTTGTTTCTCTTCAGGTTTATACATCTAAAAGTATTTTAACCATGGGTCGGAAAAAGATTCAGAGTCAACATTAGGGGTGGGAATCACCAGAGGCCTCACGATACTTATATTGACTTAGAATGCCCTATTTTACTGTCATGATTAGTGAATATTATCAAAGAATACCACACCAAATAGTGACTAAACACAACCCCTTTTAATACATGTTAACCAGGAGTCACTCTCATTTATAATCGTGGCATCGTCTGATAAAATCAACATGCATCTACACTAAAGAGCGGCTATGCGGTTGTTTTGGCTATATTACTTTTTTGTCTCATGCAGCGCACTGCGTACCAAACTGAGTTAACTGAGTAACAAACTAAAAAAATGTAAGACTTTTTAAATTTAACTCAATTTTAATGATACTGAATTTAAAAAAACCCAAGCCAATAAAATAACCACACTTTTACTGAAAGTAACACAATAAAACTGGACAGAATTTATATTAATATTGGTAACACTTTACAATAAGGTTCATTAGTTAACTACTTTAGTTAATGAACTAAGAATGAACAATAGTTCTTCAGCGTTTACTAATCTTAGTTCGTTAATTTCAACATTTACTAATGCATTATTAAAATCAACAGTTCTGCTTCTTAACAGTTAATGCACTCTGAATTAACATGAACTAACAGTGAATAACTGTATTCTCATTAACTAACTTTAAGATGAATAAATACTGTAATACATGTATTGTTCATTGTTCGTTCATGATAGTTAATACATTAACTAACATTAACTAATGGAACCTTATTGAAAAGTGTTACCTTAATATTAAATATCAATATATTATTTTTATTCACTTCCATGTAACAGAATCAGGTATAAGTTGTTGTTTTTGTTTTTTTTGACTAATTATCCAAATAATGTATAGTCCTACAAAGCTATTATTATCAGAGCATATGAGCAGAGCATATCATAGCAGAGCATAGCGTCACTGAAGATAGCATTATTTTACCAGCGTTGCCCTGTACAGCTGAACTAGCCTACATCATGTTACAGCACAGTAGCGCTACTGCAAACCGGAACAAGTAGGCCTATACTGCATAGAAATTTCCTGTCAGCGCGTTATTTGAGCGGACTTTGCTTTTTCGATGAGCATGAGCGGTACACGAGTGCAACGCACATTCATAGAGCGGAATATTGAGTGGAGCGTCAAATCGCGCAGTGACGAGGAGAGTGAAACATGTGCGCTGAACACTGCGCGGCGCGCCATATATATTATTATTATTATATGTTGCCTATATTTTCGGTGCATCCCTACTTACATCCCCTCCTTGTTTACAAATCCGAAGTAAGTCCATACATCCGATTTAAACGTGGATGGGGCTTTCCAACTTTCTGCGATGCCGCCCTCTTTATTTTACTAACTTACTGTATGCTGAAGGTGACCCAGCTGACCTCACCAGAAAAAAGCTCGACACCACCATCTAGTGGATTGTAAAGAAATTTATTTTATTATTCTACCAAATAGTATAATAAAAGATTGATACTTGACGTCTGTGTATCGATACAGTATTGCCGCGGAAAATATCGCGATACTATGCTGTATCGATTTTTTTCCCCCACCCCTAGTCAACATAATAGAAACTATTCACTCTACAGCCAATATTTTACACATTTACAGTATTTTTGTTTTCACTATACACCCTATTTAGCAACATGGAAGTAAGCTATTTTCTCTGAATGTGTGAGACTTCCGATTCATCAGCCACTGTAGGTAAATAACTAGAGGAATAAGAGAGTGCAGTAAATGGTAAAACTATTTGCGCTACAAAGCATTGTGTTTATGATTACAACAATACTTTCAAATGATAGAAGTACCAGTTTGAAATATCAAGTAGAGATGCACCGATCGACCAGCCAGGGACTGGAATTAGCCAGTTATCCGCGTGATCGGCCCGGACCGGTCAGTCTGCCGATTCCGAGCCTGTCCGTTTTGATGTCACACTTACGGCGACTGATAATGTATTTATGTTGTGCCAGATGAGGCTTGCCAACCTAAGGGTGTACTCACACTAGGCACGGTTGCCTTGAACCGAGCCCGAGCGCGATTATCCCCCCTCCCCACTCCCCCGCTGGCCTGCACTCACACTTGCACCAAACTTTCCGGGCCAGAGCACGCTTACGTCATGTGCGAGATAATGGAGAAACCCACTTTTGCTAATATTCTACCTAATAAATTTGTAATTTATGCCGTGCCTTGATTTTCACTTGTAAGTAT